TGGCGCCGCAGTGCGCCTTTGCGTTGGGGTTTGCCCCTCGCTCCAGCAGGAATTTGACTACGTCCGTGTGCCCCTTATAGGCGGCGATCATCAGGCAGGTGTTGTTGTACTTGTTAGTGATGCTGATGTCTGCATCGTGTTCCACCAGGTACCGCACGATGTCCAGACGGCCATCAAAGCAGGCGGCCCGCAGCGGGGTGGAGTTAGTGATGGTGGTGTGGTTCACGTTAGCCTGGTGACTCACGAGCAGGCGCACCACATCAAAATGTCCCGCTCCGGACGCACACCACAGAGCTGTAGCTCCATCTATGACGTAGCTGTAGAACAGAGAGACAGAAGGTTACGACTGAAAGAAGACAGACGAGGAGGACGTTCACAGTCTCTTCTCATCTCATCCTGTGATTGTGGCGGCTCTTCTCCAGGCTGAGCCGCTCTCACTCAAAACATGACTGAGTTCAAACGTAGTGTTTAATGTCCGAATTAACCAGATTCTTAAAGTTCAGGTTTCACTTCCTGTCAAGTAGGAAACATCAAAGCAACGTTCAGGGTTTAATGTCAATCACTGGCTGGTTGCTACTTCAAAATAAAAGCATTGTTGGTAATCAATGAAGTATCTGAACTCATGCTGGCTCTTACCCGTCAAACCGAACCGTGCCGGTCTGTTCCGTGTCCACCCGGTAGTGGTCCAGGAGCAGCCGGACCACTTTGTCGTGTCCGTTCCGGGCAGCGATGATGAGCGGGGTGGATCTCTGACCGGACACCTGGGTCACGTAGCTGAGCAGGAAGCGCGTCTCCGCCTCGGAGTGGTTGAGCAGCAGCGCGGCCAGGGTCAGGACTCGACCCTCGCTGGCTGCCTTGTACACGTAATCGGCCAGAGACTCCATGTGAGCGGGGCAGGGAGCCCGGACCCCCGCTTTCCTCGCAGCTGACGGCCGCAGTGTCCACTCCTCCAAAACAACCCGCCTCCCATTAAACTGTCGACACCGACCCAGAGCTCACATGAAACGGGGATGTGCTGCCTGACAGCCGCGAGAGAAACGCTGAGGAGCCGGCGGGGGGAGGGGGGACCTGCGGCGCTGAGTCCGGGTCCTGAGCTTCTGTCTCCGGACGCTGAGCACCAGCTGAACGGGTAGCCGGTTAGCTCAATGCTAACAGTAGCACATTAGCTTGATTACAACGGACAGTTTCCTGCTCCGGGTGAAATAAAAGTGAAGCATCGTCTCCGGCTCTGAAGACTCGTCCTCTGCTCAAGGTTCGGAGACAAAAGTCCAAACGACGCGAGAGACTCGGACTCGGACTCGAACACTTTCACCTTCCGTTAGCTCGTCATGCACCGGAAGCTCCCGTCCACCGGAAAAATACTTCCGACTGCAACTGCGTGCTGCTTCAGTTCCGCGGCCTGAACCTGAGTCACTGTTTCCACGGACGAAACTGAAAGAGCACAAGAACAAGAGGATCAACACATGGACCAATAAAGTCCTGAGACACATTTTTAATTAGAGTCATAACTAGAACAAGAGTTATTTACATCACACTTCATACAATTCAAATTACAATTTAGTTCAAAACCAAGTCATGAAATCTGAGCTAAAGACAATTATTATAAAATATCAAATGTAAAATATGGATCGTTAAATTAAAAGTGTCTTTGAACAAATGAGTGAGTCAGATTGTTGCTTTAAAACATTTATAGATTCTAAACTTACATTTAACCAACAGACATCGTCACTGATGTATTTTAAACCCTTTTTGTTCAGAAATGTGTTTTTGGTATCGACCGTTATTGTAGATTTGGTTTCACTCATCTGTTTGTGAACTGCTGTGTTAAATTAAAAAGTTTCAAACAACAGGAACACAATTTCAAACAAGATGAAAAAGGAAAAAAGGGAATTTTGTTCTCACTCATCACCTTGTACAACATGTCAGGGTTAATATTTTACAACGGCAGGAAAGAGGAATCGATCCAGGAATCTACATTCAACCTTTATTTCATCTTGTATTAAACACCATGATTCAGTTGGTCTGACGTGTCTGAGGAGTCCGACAACACAACTGCAGTTAATGAAGAGAGTGGAATCACACAGTGATTCTGTCTTTCAGGGTTTTCAGATGAGATCAGAGCCTGAAGAGACGTCAGTGAGTTTCCACTGTGGAGAATCATCCCCACTCTATTGATGTGCACATTCATACAAAGAAAATATAACACACACATACGTTTGTATTTTATTATAGAAATCATGTCTTAATAGTGTTGTTGTGTATAGTGTTGTGTAGTGAATAGAGGTGTGGAGCTGTTGAGTCTCGGTGCAGCAGGTAAAGTGAGATAAACTGTGGGATCTTATTTCCATCTGAACAGATCTGTGAGTGAAAACTGTCACATGATCACAGTCTTTTCAGTCGTTTCTCCTGTGACCCAGTTTCTGTTCAAGCAAATGAAAACATGTTGTGCAGGTTTTCATCCTCAGCTGGAGCATAAGCTTCTAACTGGTTCAATCTGAAACCAGATGTGTGATAAAACAATGGGAGGAGGCTCACACAGATTATCAGATTATCTCACGATGAATCTCACAAAGAATCATTTCAGTCCGGGGGTGAGACGTCGTCTTCAACGCTGGAAGAAAAAGAAGAGAGAACATTAAAAAAATTATAAATTCAAGACCAAGGATTTACACGTGCTGTGATTGGTTTCCCCAGAGGCAGGTAGATACTGGCAGTATTTGAATAAGACAAGCAGACGAAGACATGCAGCCGTCCGTCAGGAAGAGGCCGAGCTCAGGTCTGCGTGCAGCGATGTTCATGTGCAGGTTTGTTAAATGAGTTTTTCATAATGAATCCCAGCTTTAATGAAGTGTTGCAGTAAAACCTCCCGAGCGTCACAGCTCTGAGACGTTTAAAGGTTCCTGCAGCTCGTCACTGAAAACTCAGGGTCAGAGTCACTTTCTCCTCTCTGTTCACATGAGGTGAAAACTCAGCTGGAAACTCATTTCACGAGATCATTTCAGGCTTCGTTCACAGACGCAGGACGAACGAGGGGGCTGCAGCGCCTCCTGCTGGCAAACAGCTGTAACTGTTAACATTTTAAGATCTAACTTTGGAACATTCAGTGTATTTTCCATGTTTCCTCATCAATGCACAAAGTAGAATGGGACATAGATGCAGACGTTGATGGGGTCATTGATTTTAGTCATGTTGATAGTATGTTAGATATGTTATACGTTAGATACGTTAAATATGTTATACGTTAGATAAAATAGAATTTATTATTCACCCAAAAGTGAAACGTGACAATAACACGATAATCCCTGAGGGAGAGCTCAACAACGAACAAGAGAAACGACATCCACACGTCAACTACTGTAAGAAGTCAGGTGATGAGTCACTGATGAGTCACTGATGAGTCAGTACACCCTCCGACCTTTTTAAAAGCTCCTCCCCTCCGATCACGCCCCCTGTGATGTTTCCATGCTGTTGCCTGTTGTGGGCGGAGCCAGGTGGCGCCTCATTTAAAGCACATCTGATGTCACCTGTGTTCTTCTTGTTCTGCAGCCGCTCGGCGAGTTCTGCAGAGACGGTTCTGCCGAAGCTTCGGTTCCACCTGGACCTCTGGCTCAGCTTCACCGTCCAGAACTGGGTCCTGGATGTGGGCCGACCTGTTGTCATGGTAACGGGATGATGACAGGATCTTTCTTTAGTTGTTTTCCTCTTCAGACTGAATCATATGAGATTTTAAGCTAAAGCTTCAAGATCAGTTTCTGATTTTCACGTTTCATTTCTCTGACAAACCCCCGACCCAACTGTCATCACGTCACAACATGGCGGCTCCAGTACTTTTCATGTGTCGTCCATCTTTACTTCAGCGTCACTGATAGTCTCTGTCTATCAATAGATAAACACTGAAATGAATCAGTCATTAATATGAGTCATCGTCTGAATCATAAATAAAGCAAAAATAAAACTTTGACATTTTTTCTTCCGGCAGCTCGTCCTCCCAGCGAACCTGTTTCCTCTGAACCGTCCTGGTGCAGCGGAACTTCTCCACGTTCTCTACAGTGTCACGGCTCCGCTCATCCTGCTCAAAGTAACTGCATCAGAACACGTCACGCTGAGCACGTCACGCTGAGCACGTCAAGCTGAACACGTCACGCTTAACATGTCATATACAGAACACGTCATTCTACACATGTCATACAGAACACGTCATTCTAAACATGTCATACAGAACACGTCATTCTAAACATGTCATACAGAACACGTCATTCTATACATGTCATACAGAACACGTCATTCTAAACATGTCATACWGAACACGTCATTCTAAACATGTCATACTSAACACGTCATACAACATCTGTTCTCCATTTCAGATRCTCGAGCGCAGTCCCAGGATTCTGCCCCTCCCCATCGTCCACCTCGGCATCATCTTCATCGTCATGGGAACCAGCTTCCACCTGGTGGCCGAATCCATCCGTCGTCGGCTCGTGTTGATTGGCTACGAGCTGCACCTGTCAGTCAGAGAGAACCCGGTGATGAAGGAGCTCAGACCCTCCTCATTGGTGGGTACCGGATCAGACGCCATGATGTCATCAGAAAGAGCTGGACGATGATTAGTTGTGAAAGTTGTGAACTTCCAGCAAACGACGTCTCCGTGGCAACATGGTGAATTTGAATGTTTTGCGAAGCAAAGGAAGAAACTCACATAGACATAGCGCCACCTACTGGAAACAATCATCATTTCATTGAAAGAGTCATTGTCTGGTTCAGGCTTCAGTGATCTCAGTTTACACGTTAACACGCCTGGAAACACGTCACGGGACCGTTCACAAATATAAAATACTAAACGACTGCATCACATAATTAAATAAGAAGGTGGAGTCAGCAGTGAGGTCACATCTGGAACATCTGCGCCTGACTGAAGTCTTTTCATTTTGCAGATTGATGTTTTCGAGTTCGTGTTTCACTTCGACGACTCTCTGGGTCACCTGATGTGGTGAGATGATCTGAAATGATTTTCAGTTCACAGATCATTTACACACGACGCTCAGGTAACAAGACGCATCAGCGGCTGCTCGATGTTTTCACGTGATGTGAAGGTTTGTGGAAATGAACCATGATCACGTGTTGCTGCCGTCTCAGATTCACAAAGATAAAAAATGTCCTTCTCTGAGAATTCATAATAATCAACGTTGAGTGACAGTTTCTGATCGATGATGGAGCGAGAGAAGACGTGATCTTTAGAGAAGAAGGTTTGAGCCTCTCTCTCTCTCTTCTGCCTGTTTTCCAGGTACGTTCCTCTGTTCCTCATCCTCCTGCTCTTCTTCAGTGGTTGTTTCTGCCACAGGACGCAGGTGGACAGGATGACCCCAGCAGCCTGGACGCTCCTCGTTCCAAACACCACCTACTACTGGTCAGACGGCTGTACTGCTTCTGTAGATTCTAACCAGAGGGTTCTGTTCTGACCCATCAGGCAGCCACTTCAGTATTATTATTATTCATAATCATAATGTTATTATCATGAATAATAATAATATTATAATCATTCATATTATTATTAATAACACAACAACACAAGAGTCATGCCAACAACAGGATGAAGTCAAAGTTCCAGCAGGAAGTTGATTCATCACGACCTCAGACACTGTCCCCGTGTTCCTGACAGGTTCCTGGTCACTGAAGGACAAACCTTCATCCTCTTCCTCTTCACCTTCTTTGCAATGGCCGCCACAGTGATGCACCAGAGGGGGCGGGGCCTGGTCCCTGACAGTAACGGCCTCTTCATGCTCCACAGGTGAAGTCATGGGAACAAACATACACATGAACTCTGGAGTTTGTGTTTCTCATGTGAAGAAGAAGCAGATCCTCTCATATAACATGTATATATTTATATTATATAAAATACTATAAGACTTCATGTCCATCACATGTTAGAAACCTCAGAGACACGTCCACTCGCTCACTGACAAGTTTACAGATGTTTGACTAGAGGCTGCAGGAGAAGATCCAGAGACACTGACTCAGACATGTGTTCTCACACACAGAACACGTGAGAAACATGTGAGGGACACGTCAGAAACATGTGAGGGACACGTCAGGAACACGTGAGGGACACGTCAGGAACACGTCAAAACTCCAGTTCATGTCTGAAAGCATCTTTTATACATACATGTTATAATGCTGGTGAGGAGTAGCCCTCAGTCAGTAATGTAATTAGTCAGAACACCTGAGAACGACCTCATCAATTATTACAGGACACACACACTCACTCACAC